AATATAGTAATTACTTTATTTGTATTTCCACATACATGTTCATCTTAGGTTCTACAATTTACTTTTTCCTTTTAAAAAGTATTAAATCACCATTCTCACTTAGATTTTTCTATTTTTTAAGTTAAATTTATCTTTGACAAAGAATTACCTAATCATTAGGAATATTGCTAAAAATATTCCATCAAAATCAGGGTATTCAAGACATAAAGTGCAGAAAAATATAGAGCCCTCTAGAAACTTAGCATCTGTTACTCATTTTCAGTGACTATACTTTTTCGGGTCAAAATTTATGAGAATACACTCAATTTACACTAACCAACCCCACCAAAGGCAGAAACTAGCAGTAATTAATTGGGATCACACACTGACCAGGGAAGGTTTCTGAGTCTGAGCAATTTTGATTTACTTTATAGAACAGCAGAGATAGAGGGTAAACAAAAACAGAATCAAGAGGATGGTAAGGAATAAAATAAAGAGCGAAAACCTGTACTTATGGAGTTTTGTATAATAGCAGCTTGATAGAGGGTCAGTCAAAGCTCCTGGAACAAAAGGTCTTCATGGAAATAAAACCTCTGAAGAAATAAGTAGAAAATACAGGAATAAACAGATTACACAAATCCATATTTGCACTAAAAGAAAATGGTACATGAACCCCACTAGTATTGTAGTTAAACGCTACAAATTTTAGGTCTACTTTTGTCTTGAATGTTTGATGGGAAGACCGTTAACATTTTTCAAACTCAGTCTACAACCTAATGCTGTTTATTGATGAATCAGAAGAAACGAGGGAAGTCTCTAGTAATTATGATTTTAATGTCGTGGTGTGGGAAATTCAAAGACACAGGCCTGCTGCCAATGTTCCTTCTTCTACCAATGGAAATGGAAACAAGATAAGAAAAGATGGTAGGAGAAGTCCTGAAGCATTACGGCAAATAGGTTGATGTTAAAAAAACAAATTTTGTACTAAGAACCAATGGCCTTCTGATTTCAAGATCATTCTTTTTTCTTAAAATCTACCTTATTTTTATAAAAACTGCTATACAGGTACCACAAATTGCTCTTAAACAGCAATGTAATTTTTAATCCTCATGTGAATCAGGTTTAAGAGTTCCTTACAGAAATGCAGCAGGAAAGGTCTTTAAGATGAACGTATGCACATTGGAATTTGATATTATTAACACCAATACATGGGATAATTTGTCTTGACTACAAAAGAGCTTTCTGGAAGATGAAACTTCTAAAAGATTATTCTTTTCTTAAGCACCAGAGGAGGTGATAAAAGCTTCCTCTTTCTCTGATTCACCCCCTTTTAATGAGAGGATTTGTTATGTAAAATTCAGATTCAGTCAAAAGGCTTGCACTCAAGGACCATGAAGGCCACACGTTTCCTGAAAGGCCCCAGATTCTCCACCTCTCAGCTCACAGGTTAAACTGAGAGCAGCTATACTAAGTGCCCGTAAAGAAAGGGAACATGCTGGAAGAAAATATAAAAAGCAGTCATTCATGACATCCCTGAGGACAAGATGTCAAAAAGGGGCCAGAATGATGGAACCATTTTGTAGGATTGATAACTGATTTAATAATTCTTGCTCAATATGCTGATAAGTGGAGTAACACTGCCGTGGATCAAGGTTCCTGGTGCCATGATTAGGATTCATGCTGTCTGGGTCTACACATTCCGCAATCACTTTGCACGTGAAAGTTTCAACAGTGCAGGAGTCTGATTGATTGATTGTTGACATGAGTAAGAATCATAAATGGAAAAATTAATATTACCTCTTCATGTATCTCAAGCAACAAGAACTGAGATAGAGAAGGCCCCAAATACTCCACTTTAACAGCTTAATTCTTGGGAGCATATAATTAATTGGGATCACCCACAGACCTGGGAAGGTTTCTGAGTCTGAGCAATTTTGTTTTACTTTATAGAACAGCAGAGATAGAGGGTAAACAAAACCAGAAAAAAATTGTGAATATCATATGACTATCACGTCACCATTCATCAGTAAATTTAGGCCATCTTCAGAGACATAGTGTTGGGATGCAAGACTTTTTCACTCTACTCTGCGGTGTTAAAATACCAGCTGAGGAATGATCCCTCCTTCTTACTGCACGTTCAAAGGCAGCGCCTTGGAGGGACGGTGGGGAAGACGGTTAGGCAGGTGAGCTCCAGACAGGAATGACGTGCAGAGAAAGTAGATAGCTGATTGCAGAAATTCAAAGAGATGTCATGGCAAAAAGCTAGTGGCTCTTTGCTGAGTGAGGATACCAACCTAGAACTAGGAAGTATTAAAGTTGTAGAAAGATTGACTTTATCTCAATGGAAGAAAGAGCACTGAGATGTCAAAATTATATACAACGCAGACTACCGTAAGAGGCAGTGAGTTCCTGGTCACTTGGGGTTTGTCAAGCGAAACCTAAGTAATTAATTACATGGAAGAGCTTTTATACAGGGAGCCGAGCACTGGCAATGTGGTTGGACTGGATTATGTTTACGATCTCCTTCAAGTCTAATAATCCTTTTCAGATTCCCTGAAATCTTTTGTCTCCAGCACCCCTTCCTTTCACCAGTCATATGCCATCAATTAATTAGTATGAAAATAAATTATTTTTCACATGAGAAACTTTTGTAAAAGATGTATAAAAGTCGTAGGAGATATCTGACAATCATGTCACGGCCCACGTTCTGTGCTTAGAGAAACTGAGATGATTTCACCAGGCAAACAGCCAGCCAGTAGGAGAGCTGCAGGTGGCCCCCCTGCTTATCACTCAGTCCAGCACTCGGGAAAACCTACTTTCAGAAATGTTTCAATGAAGAAATATATCATTGAGCTCCTAGCTCTGTGGGACATGTTTGGGGACTTAAAGATATTTACAAATTATTTATTTCAAAAAAGATGATAACTTCTTGAAGACATTACACATCAATGAAAGGAGAATAAATAATAATTCAAGGTGCCAGTAAAATGAAAGACTCACACAGAAGTGTTATCCACATCCTAATCAAAGATACAGACTTGATGTTTGTAGGGAGTTCGGAGTATTGATATTTCTCTTCCTGGATACGTTTGACTCCCCGAGGGTCATCTAA